GGGAAAGGGCCAGGGGCCCTTCCGGCGTCCGCAGCCGGAAGCGCGGGAGCGTCTCGGGCGGCGGACGGAAGACACGGCGAGGAGGAGGCTTCCGGGGGCCGCGCGAGAGCCGTGTGCGCGTGTCCGTGCGTCCGTGTTTCCTTGCTGCCCAGTTTGGAACGTGGCGCGTGTTTGAAGCGGTGCTGTGGGAGACTGTTCGGCAGCCCCTGGACACTGAAAGACGCCGATGTTAGCTCATTGAGAAATACGAACTGAGTGAGGTGCGCTCTGAACATACTGGGGTTTCCTCTGGAAAGCGGTGAAAATACCGAGTTTAATTTTTTTCCTATATGCAGTGAATCTGAAAACTGTAAAGACTCCTACAACAGACCACCGCCTCTCCTCCTTGAAATACCCTAGTACATGAATCATCTTCTGGTAAGGGGAATATTTCATTTCAAATTATAACACCTCTATTTCGCTGAGGTTTTTAGAAAGTTATTATTTTCTATTATAGCTATGTTGGGTACAAGTCAGTGTTAGTTACTCAAGCAGACTGCGTGCGTACAGGTAAGGTCTGGACCTCCAACTGGCCCTCGCTGTTGCTATCCTTAATAGTAAAGTTTCAATATATTGTTCTAGAAAAATATTGTAAAGAAAGTAGTTTTATCAGAGTGCTTTCTAATAACTTGCTGGAAAATAATGAAAGAGTGTTTACCAAAATATTTAAATGAGAAAAGTTATGAGATAATAGACATGTACACACATATACATGCACACAGTTATATGTACATATATATACAAACACAATATAAGGAACCACTTAATAATTATTCACCTTCTTGTTAAGCAAAGATTAATGTCTCTCTGTAAAGGGCAAAAGACGCCCATAAATAAAAGCGCTCTTATTTGTCAGTTATTATGACACTGTTTTGCTTGTGAGTGGTGCAGGTAAGATTTTATTTTCACTGTTATGCTACAGGCTTTCATCTCTCCCTTCCTGTCGCACTAACAGGCTGTAATCTTTTATGATATCCAACGATTATTGAAGATGAAATAGCCATATGCAACCAGAGATCCATCACAAGCCTCTATTGATAACCCGGTTAGTTTAATTACTCTCTTGTTTGTCAAGGGGGCCATGAGTCATTACAAACAAAAACATGAAATCCGGAACATTGCCTGAAAACCCAGGCGTCATGAACCGAAATAAAAATCTAATTCGTCATGAAAAGGCTTTTATGCAGGACAGTGTGCATATGCCTCAGCACTGAGCGCTTTGCCAGATGAGTTACAGTGACATGATCCTGTGTTCTAGGACTTCATGGGCTGCTGTGACAGACTCTGTGAACGGGAGCACACCTGAAGTGTCATTCAGAAGCACGGATAAAGAGTGAATCACAATTCAATAATAATACACACAAGGAAAAGTCCGCAGAGCATTTTGTCTGGCGGGAGTTACAGGGCCATGGGCTGCAGAGTAATCCATATGGAGAGAAGATTCTTCTGTAGAGCTCTTTCAGTGGCTAAAGTTATAAACTTGAACCTGAAGACTATTGATTTTTCGTAGGGACATGAACATTTATCTTATATATTCATACTACTGTGCATCTTTTGGAAATAACTGTTCAAGAGGAAGAACACTCACCCACTTATTTCTTCCTTATTCATCTATTGATACCACAGATATTTCTATGGGGGACCATTAATGAAAATAAAACTATTCCTGGCCTCACAGAGCTAATATGGAGTGACACAAACTGAGATGAAAATACAGCAGGGTGATGTTACTTGATGTAGGTGCCGTCTCAGAGTGCCTTACAGAGTGCCTAACCGGTGATGCTTGAGCCCAGAATTAAATGAGGGGAGGAAGGAGTCATGTGGCTACTAGTGGAAAATGGTTAAAGCAGCTGGAGCAGGAGAAGCAAAGGTGCTGGGCGGAGAGTGTGCTCGAGGTGGAATCAGTTCCGTTGGTTCGACTGTAACATGGTGCTTAAGAAGCAGCAAAGAGGTCATCCTGGCTGGAGGAGAATAAATGAGAAGAATCCAGGCGAGATGGTCGGCGGGGGCTGGGCCCAGATTCCACAGTGTTTGGCAGCCCATGGGGTAAGGCTTTGAATTTTATCCCAAGGTGGGAGGTTTTGGAGATTTGGAATGGAGGAGTGACATGATTTTATTAAGATTCTATAAGAATTCTTTGGTTGTTGTGTGGAACATGGTCTGCAAAGAGGCAGGAGAGGAAACATGCAGAAAAGCTAGGAGACTGCAGCATAAAAAAAATAGGCAGGAGTTGAGAAAAATGTAATTAAATAGATCATTGGTCATGTTGGGCCTGACTCAACTCGGTTAACTGGCAATGACTGGACATTTTTAGGGAAATCTCAAGCTTACACCACTCTGAACCCTATTACTTTGTATAAATAAGAGGGTTCTATGACCACACAAATGTCTGATTGTATTCAGCAAGTTTTTTTCCATAGTATTTTTCAGAAATTGTGATGTCCATGTACGTCTTATGAATCTCTTATTAGACAGAACTTTTCTAAATGAGTGTGACCGTGGCATTCCATAAGGTTTTAGTTGAGCATCTTGTAGGTCTGATATTTCTTGGGACATGTTTTGGGTATGTCAGATTATTGAACTAGTGGATATCTAAGCTGTATTCCACATCTTGAGTTATCTGATCCATGACTTGGAAGGTGACAAATCATCATTGGTTCAAGAGGTTTCTAAGGGCTTATGAGAGAGAATGTATTCATGGATTTTATGTGAGGAGAAGGTCTCAATTATTGGCACCATAAGGATATGGTCATTTATTTGCTGGGAACAGATGTACCTGACAATAATTATGACTAATTAAATCTCCAACGGGGCCTGTAACAGTGAAGATTATAAGTATGCTTGGCCAATTTGTACAAAACACTCATTTTCCACTAAAAGTTTCCATAGTTTAAGAAATCACAGTGGACCCCTCCTTGGGAAGACAATCAAATAAAAAAGACCTGAGTGGTTACTCCCACAGCTGACCTCTCTTACCATGGTACCCCTTCCATAGCTCTGTACCAGCAGTGTATGCTGTTTTCACCAGAAGTAGGGACATACGTGCATGCATGCTTTTTCGTTGCGTGGAAATGGTTTGGGTTCCGCTCAGATGTGACATTTCAATCACACCGAAGTGGTGAGGAAAGTGAATGCTTGAGTACCTCAGATTCACGAGTTGAATGACATTCTTCGGAGTGGACTGAGTTATGTGCTCTGCTAAAATTTAGGTGCACCGCCCTTGTGCCAAATTGTACATGACTGTGAGTGGCAGCAATGGTGCAGTGAAGAAACAATCCATTTCAGAGGAATGTTATTAGACGTGGGTG